TTTTGGACCAAGTCCCGCGAATTAGAACAAAACATCTTTTAATTAGAAAAGATCTGAATTTTAAATGTACACGACTCGTTGAAATTCAGGTTGCCCGGGAATAAGTCGAGGACGTAGGTGTCAGTGGGAACGAATATGAATCCGAATTTCGCAAACTTTCCTCGGAAACAAAATTGCTTCTTTCGTAGAAGCACGCCCATCGTTGTTTTCATTTCCGACCGGTAGAAAATTAATTAAACAAATCCTGTTTCCAGGTTTTCCGCTCACGCGATATTCAATTCATTTTTGCGATATTTACATTTAAAAATAATTGATATAAAAAAGAGAGCGCATCGTGTAAAAAGAACTATACCGTGAATTCTGTGCTTTCAATAAATAATTGATTGAAAAATTCTATAAAAAGATTCTACGTTTAATAACGATTCGATATTTTCTTCACTTCTCGTTCGTTAATTCCAATTTCTAATTATTTTTACTGAACGTTTGAAATTTCTAAATTTTTCGTATATATTAAATTATTCTTCAATTATTCGAGGGAGAAACAAATGGAGAATAAGCAGTATTGTTCTGTACAGGAGCGCGAAATTGCCAGGGTTAATCGGTTCCAGAGGAAGATATGCCGTTTAACCGGTTGGGCATTAGGGTCGGCACTCAATTGTCAGTGGCAACGCGAATTTGCACAGGTGTCAGCCGCGAGATATCATATCGAACGCAGTAGCACTGAATGGGCTAAATTGCTGATGCTCGGGACGCGAGCGTCGTGACACGTCGCAACGCTACAGGCTACGTGAAATAAATTCGATTCCAGTGTCCCCCTGAGATCAAATGCCACGTCGTTATCTCTCCCAATCTAGTCTACCAATTTTTTCACTGCCAACATCATTTTCATTTAACCCTTCAACCTTCTATAATAAAAAAAGAGTCAAATTTAAAAAATATCTTTTAAAAATGAATTGATGAATGAAAATATTTTTTTAAATATTAATTAAATTTCTAATGATTCATTTGCTGGTTCAACTGATATACTAATCATATTATATATGATATACTAATCATAAATTATAGTCAAGGAGAACTGTATTTAAAAATACTTCACGAGAATTTAATCAATCCTACTTGAAACTGTTTAGATAGAGAAATCGTTCATTCGTTCACTCATTTGATTAATGCACGTGATTAGAACCGTTCATTTCGAAGATGAACTATCTTTGACTCTTTACACAAGAGAGTTGGATCGATCAAATTCAGCTGTTTAAATAAGACATATATAAAGGCATAGTCGTTAATTCGTCGAGCGCAAACTATTAGAACATTCTGAGACTGAACCGTCCGAAAAGCGGTTATCGAACGGTGTCTATATTTGAGACGAATCAATATTTGACAATGATTATCTGGGAGAGCTGGGGGTCCAATTTGCAAGGATTGAATTCCCGGACTCATCACGGACCGCATTCAAGAAGTCCCGGAATCAGTCTCGTGAAAAGGCTGCCTGATTAATCATCTTCGAGGAAAAACTTGGAGAAGGCCCGTTGGAAATTTATCAGACTTTCGCCTTATCGGAGGAGACAGAGTGCTCAATGAACTCTATTAATCATGTAACGCGAAAAAATACTGTTCCTCTCGGCAATCTAAGGTGATTGCACCGTCTTCTTTTTATCGTGGGAACATCCTTCGATAGAGGGAGAGATCAAGTATTCAAAGGGGTGGCTGGGAAATCGTCGCCAATGCCAGTGATTTATCACCGGAAGGCCAATCATGCATTCTTTTTTCGCGACGAATGAAATAATGGTTGAATAGTGCATATATAACGAAATGAAAATGAATTACGCGACGATGAATCATTGTTAGGCAGGCTGTCGATTGTTTCTGACCATTTCATTAAACCTTTCAGAGACGATATTTAAATAACATCAGCTCTCATATATAAAG